GGGGTCATTTAAAATGGAGTGTGGCAAAATGGAAGACTGTTCTGTGGACATAGAAGAGAGAGTAAAAACCTAAAAAATGTGACTAGTGTAATGTTTCGCATTTGTCTTAATAAAGATAATCGACACGCTTCATGAGCCCGGGTCTGTTTATTGCATGCCCGTAACATGTACACTGAATCCTTACGTCACATCATGTCTACGATATGGCAAGCCCATGAGGACAATAATTATGACGGTTTACAATACAACATTGTAAATACAACATCTCCCTTTTTTTTTTTTTTTTTCTCTTTTGATGCCACATGTCCTCATTGAACTGGTACACATATTGAATATATTGTCACATGAAAATTATGCTGCAGTAAACAACATGTCAGACTTGTAAACATCATTTTACATTCACATTGCACATATTTTCATGTAAACATCATTTTACATTCACATTGCACATATTTTTCATGTAAACATCATTTTACGTAAACATCATTTCACGTCATCCCACTTCTGACACCATGTAATGTTTCGTATTTGTCTTAATAAAGATAATCGACTCGCTTCATGAGCCCGGGTCTGTTTATTGCATGCCCGTAACTTGTACACTGAATCCTTACGTCACATCCTGTCTACTATATGGCAAGCCCATGAGGACAATAATTATGACGGTTTACAATACAACATTGTAAATACAACAACTAGTATAAATATTGGAGCGCTGCCAGCTTTCGGGTTTTTTTTTTTTCTGTCAATCAATCCAGTAGGTGTGTCAGCAAATGACCAATCGGTGAACTCAGTTTGTCCCGAAGGTAAACACCTCTTGCCTGCAGAGCTGGTCTGCAGCTGCTCAGGGTGGACGCTCCAGTTTGACGTCTGAACCGTCTGTGGACAGTGCGCACAGTTTCTGCGTGGACTGAGGTCTGCCCGAGTCTGTAGGAGCCTTTATGAGTCCTGCTGGGTTTGAAATGTACCGGGATGTTGTGTTTGGTGAAAATCTTTCTGAGTTTCTCTGATACTCAGCAACATAAAGGATGACGATGTTTTTACATCTGTTGTTCTTTTTCTGTTTGTTGGTGTGTTTTGTAGATTTCCTCGCTGACTTGACAAAAGCCCAGTTAGGATATCCACATGTTTGAAGAGCTTCTTGAATGTTTCAGTTCCTTTTCCTTCCCTTCTGTCTTTGTGGGGACGCGTTCGGCCCGATGTTGTAAAGTTCTGATGACAGAGAGTTTGGGTTCCGGTGGATGGTGGGAGTCAAACAGAAGATATTGGTCTTATGTACATACATACGTATTGTGTACATGCATAATTACTGTGTACATACATAATTACTGTGTATATACATGAGTACTGTACAGTACTTATGTATGTAAATAAGTACTGTGTACATATCAGTACTGTGTGTAGTTTCATAATGGTGTTATTCAGAACGTGTTTTTATTTTTTGTACGACTACTTTTACTTTTCGTTTTAAATACATTGTACGGCTGTTTGTTGTTGTGTGTACTTCATCTGTGGTTTTGTTTTAAACAGGTCTCTCTTGAAAACGACTCCTCGACCGTCTAAGGGGTAGAGTTGCATTTGGTCCTAAAATTCTGACCCGACCCGACTGTAATTATAGTTCCGAACCCAAAAACAAAAACTTTTTTTTTCCCTGCTTTTGTAAACAAATCAGTTTGACATATTTTAAAAACGTATTTCAAAGAAAGATAAAAGACTTCTTATTTCACCAAATGGATATTAACAAAATGAACAGCCTAAAAAAATAATCTCTAAAAATAGATGCAAATGAACAATATATAGAAAAATATAGAACAAGACGTTTTTAATTGAACGCGCTGCTCGCTTTGGCTTTTGTAGCTGTGGCTACTTCCTTCACCTCAGATGACAGCAGGTGCAGAGACGCACGTGGCCAGTGATCCGGTGATCCATCGGGAGCTTAACAGGACTCTTTTCACCTCTTTCCACCGGCCGGTCGGACCTGAGCTGCACCTGACACACATCAGCAGGTTTCACTCTGCGACCTTTGTAGAGTGAGTTCGCTCATTTTTAGCTTTTCGTTAATATTGTGCAGCTCCGTTATGTCGCTTGTTGTGGCTCAACTGCAAATCCTGATGTGTGATTAGAGCAAAGCAGGGCGGGGCCACATGTGCCATTAGATGTGCAATGTGTCAGCTCCTCTCTTCAGTCAGATTAAATATTTGATTTATTTTCCTCATCATATAAACTTACTGCCTCCTCCTCTACATGCAGATTAACATAATTTTATATTGTACATTCTCATTTAGGTTTCTTTGTGCTGCATGAGTCATAAAACCGGACCACAGCCCGAGCCTGACCCGCCCATCAAGCACATCCTTTTGACCCGCCTCCGCCCCAATTTCGGCTTCGGCTCAGGTCAGAAATTGCAACTCTACCGAGATGGTGTAGCGGTAGGCCAGCTGAATTGGGACCAGAAAGTCACGGTTCGACTCCCAGACATGCCAACATCGTCGTGTCTGAGCAAGATACCCAATCCCTAACTGCTCTGCGGGTGCTTACATAGCTGCCCACTCTCCACCCGAGTGTGTGATGGGTTAAATGCAAAGAACTCATTTCACTTCACCACTTGCTCTTGCCGAGGTCAGACACATTTCCCCTCCTCCACTTTGCTTCGCTGCTGTCCTGTCTGTGAAACTGCTTGTGAGCCTCTACGTATCTTCCGAACCATAATTTTGTGGATCTGGTCAGTTGGTCTCTCAACACAATGGACAACATTTTTGAGACAAGCTGAACTGCTCGGTCGACACGTATGCAGCTGGACATGTCTCTGTGTCTATCTCTGCTGTCGATCGAGGACGCCAAAACTGCACAGAACTGGATTTATAACGTTTCCTGCTTTTGGAATTGTCTGTTTCGTGGTTTATCAACAAAGAAGACGGCCGCAGCTCATCGGCCTGGTCAGGCTGCCGCCCATGTGAAGGTTTGCTCCGTGTCTCTCGAGCACCCAGACTCCTTTGCTTAGCGGACTGGATCACAAACTGGATGCAATTTGTGAGAATCGCAGGCCGTATGCGGCCCCTAGGACCTGCTGGCAGGATGCATCAGATCCCGGGGAATTTTCTCAGGCACGGATCAGTGGCGGTCCATTTAATTTGGATGTTTCTGAATCTACGTGAGACCAGCAAAGACTCAAGGCAGATAAAAATTAAAGTTCTGCCTGACTTCAAAACAAACGTTTACCTGAATTTGGCTCCCCTGGCTGGCCTTGCAGACCACCTTATCTCAGTTCGGCTGGAGGACATGTAGTATGACAGTCTGACCC